GTGTTTACCAGTTCGACACCCGAGTTTGTAGGTGTGCTAGGCAGCAGAGAGGCCTACAGTACTTGGGGCTTTAAGTTTTACAAACTGTCATATAAAAGGAATGGTGTTAAGAAATCACGTCTAGATTCAGTAATGAAAGGGGTTCAGGGATTTATTGTCTGGGAGGTGATGATCCCTCACACTGTATCTGGTGACAAAACCCTTAAACATTGCGTACATGATAATTCACTAACTAACAAGAGTGAGTGAGTTCAGTTTTACGCCGCTTTTAACAATATTCCAGCTATATCACGGCGGAGGACACCGTGATCCCTACACAATTAGGCCCGCGTTTCACAAAATTGCCTCCCTATAAATTTAAACAGGTCGTAGACCATACGACCTTGTTTACGACCACTCTTCCGACCTCCTTTACGACCGTTTCACAAAGACGTCATATCCATGTCGTACGACGCGGTCCTAAATCCATGTCGTACATTGTATAAGAGCTACTTTGTTGCATAGCAACGCATAATCGAGACCGAACGGGCACCTGCTTATCTTGTTATTCCCAAAGTATTTCAAAATAGAAATACAGTTTGAATAATAATACAACTGTTATGTTTTTAATTCAATTTACAGGTTATCTCATCGTAAAAAAATATCAATAAATGAATTATTTGGATTTTCCATTGAAAATTACAAGATAAAATGTATAAATCATTTCCATTAATATTATCAGTTTTACTTATAAGGTTTGAATTAAGTCGCTGTCCATTAACTTGTTCATATGAAACTGCAATATTAGTCCCAATGTATTGAATATTGCACACTATAGGACCTAAAGTCAATGTTGCAGTTATGGCTACGCTTGATCTACTAACACTTGTGTAAAGGTTTAAAATATGGTGTGATACTCTAAATGTGTCAATTTCTTTTGTAACTTTTATTCAAACCATCAAAAACTTTCAAAGAATATAAACGTATACCCTATATCCACGTATGATATGATATTGAACAAGGCTAAATGTAGGTACTGAAATTGGTTTCATGAAAAAATATCTGAATGATACGCAAAATATACATCATAGTACTGAAAGTGTAATCAGAAGGATAGGACGATTGTGTTTACTTTTTTTTCATCCGACCTTCACCTCAAAGATATTGCCTAATATGTAGTACTACAACAATGTTGACGTGTGACATCACAACCGATGACCGATTTCTTACAAAATGGCGGCTCCGCTGACAAGGGTACACAGGATTTTGCGAGGACTCTTATTCCCTTGATTCAGGGATCGTTTGTACATAAATATGAAATGTAAGTAATCAGAGTGACTCTGACTATCTGTGTATTGTTATAAGTTTTCTTTGTAAGTAAGAGAAGAAGCCAGAAATGCTGATAATTACCGTTGTCATTCTGCGTGATTTTGCGTCTGTTATGGCGTCACGCTGCACGGAAACTTTGACAATTTCTTATGAAGTATCAAATCATTGCATTGTATCTATTTTTAATTTCCTCTTTCTTGCTATGATCGATACTCTTTCCATACATATTCTAAAGGTATTGAGCCATTGCAAGCAATGAATAGCCGGCTGCTACGCAGTATTAATCGGAATTTTTCTTTGTTTACATTTCAAACTACAGTAGCGCAGTCTTCCGAGCACAGCGTTTGTTTTCACACCCAATATCCAGTTGGTATTGGTAACAAAGACCAACTGTGATTTGATTTTAAAATGTATGGGGAATTCAGTGATGCATTTGTCGCAGCTGACTATGAAATATACGTGATGTACAACTCAATACCGGCCTTTGCGAGACGTGATTTTGTAAACACTATCCAATATGGCGGAAAGCGCACTTCGGCGTTCGTGTAAATATATTTTCGAAAACATCCAAACCGATTCTAGGTTCATCGGCAGCGTTTCAGATTATCATTAGTGATATCATGAAAAACTGATTTCAGTGATCATTAATATGTTATTTTTGAAATTCAGTACTCCCAGTAATTATCCGATTTTCACATTTGAAAACATACTGTCTACACTGTACAGCAAATAATGCTGTGAATCGTGATTTCGTATTGTGTATAAAATGGCGACATTTACGATGAAGCCTATTTTGAAAGGTTATTTAAGCACTTTAGCTTTGTCTGAGATTTTAGTGGATGGTATCAAGAAACAGGGAATTTCCCGCAGAATACAAAACTTTGAAGTATATTTGTGTGCGTGACATATTATAGAATTTTATTGGACTTCAAAGTGAGGGTTGAAGAGGAAGGACACATGTCCCTGTGGCACCCAGGGTTTTTTAATCAAGTCCAGATACGGCCAGAGCACTAGCGGTGTCGCGGAGTATTCTTGACACACTAGCTCGGGATACTCCATGGAGATCCCCGATTTCACTGAGGAAAACCCCTTTTGCCAAATACCTCTGTGTACACAACACTTGCAGGGAGGTCGGAATAGCATGTGAACGCCTTGTAGGTTTGTTCAGTTGGGGCTCTAACTTTCTGCATAGTTAGAAAACAACATGAATGTCGAGCACGTTCGACCTGTCTCAAAATTTCTCAGGTCTTCTTTGTTAGTTCCCGGCTCCCTTTGCGCGCGCTAACGTTCGACAAAGCTAGGAGCCGGTATAGGCTGCCATTTAAAACGCTCTGCTCGTTTATTTGACGTCACATCCGGATTGGTCAATCTGGATTCCGTCGCGATGAAAGATCTGGGAATCATAAGACTTGAAAAGTGAACGTTGTGCGAGAATTGCGCTTACGTGGTCCTGGATCTGCGTATGGCTATAAAATTACATAGAAATGTAGAATATTAAATTTCCTATCCGTTGGTATTAAATATAAGTGCACCTACCTCGGCGGTTTGAGAAATAGACACTGTTAAATGTTGTCCAAATCTTTGTTATGCGTTAAAAAGCAGTAAATATCTCCGCTTTTGATTGTGTATTGATGAAAGCACTGTGCTACGAATTTTTTAATTTGGCATCGTTACGGAAAGTGTGAGCGAAGAAAATACAGCCTGATATCTGAACGACATAAGTATATATGAAATGGGTGTGTGTGCTTATGCATAACGTTATACGCTCAATCTTAAAATGACTCGCAATAAATGTCGAAAAAGGATTTTGTTCTATGACGTCAAACGACGACAGAGAGGCCATACACGTATAAAGATAAGGGGTCATAACTCCCACATGCTTAACACTAGGTCAATGTAACTCAGAATACTTGGAGAGAATTTGTTGTGGATATGGACGCTATATTTTCGTTATGGTTTGTTCACCATGAACCAAACTATACAAGTACAAAGTTCCACAATGTGAGCGGATATGTTTTGATAGTTGCACAATTCATAAGAAAATATGACAAAGTACTACATGAGAAAGCATGTAATAGCGATTTGGATGGCCCTATCTGATAATATATAATTTAGTTCTTACATTCCCATATTCTCCTGTTAGTGTAGATGTATTTTGACTAAGTTTGCATCATTATTAATAGAGTACTAGCCATATCTTCAAATGTAATGAAATTACTGAAAATAATACCACTGGATGCGGAAGTATTTTGTGACGCAGTTTCATAGGATCTGAAAAGTGAACGTTGCATTGGATCTACGGTCCTCCGACTATAACATTATGTTCAGATGTAGAATACATTTAGATCTGCTGACACTTGTCTAAAGGTACGAGGTTTTGTATACAACACCAACATTGTCAATTTCCTATTAAAAGTATGTTCAAACCAACTAATTATCAAACGTTCATAAATCTATAAACTACACAGTGTAAGATCTGAATTGTGATGATTTGTTTACATTTTAAACAAGTAGAGTTTGCTCCGCCTTCGTTTTCACACCTTATCTATATTGCTCAATTTCATATAACCACTTTGTATTGATGACAAGACCATATTGGCTTAAAAAGCCTACCCATGTTGATTTAATATTTGGTGAAAATTGATGAACAAAGAGTTTGCCGCGGTGTTGATGCATCGCATCAAAAGTTTTCTTGTTGCTGTACTAAAGTGTCTTCAGGACACATTCAGCATTTTCTAAGTGAATAATTCAATACTTATATATCGCCACAAAATATTATAAATTCATTTTCCGCCTTACTACTGATTTTGTGCCAGTGTTGGCACACCTACCCACTCTAAGACACACATACCTTTCTAACGTCATCCGCGAGGAAAGTTTAGAATATTTGCAATACGAGATTTAATTTGTATGCGTGGCTCGACCGATGTCCACATGTATAAATTACCTGCATATTTGTGTCGTTCATACATCAGAGATGATTTTATTCGCTCACAGTTTTCTGACAAGCTTATAATAAAAAACTTTGTCGCATAGGGAAATTAGGGTGTGCATTTAAAAGCGACGATCCTTTCACGCAAATAAAACGAATATTTACGTTTACTATTATTTTTCGTGAATATTGATATCAAATATGTACAATAACAGAAAGTAAGATTTTGAAAAAGAAGTTTCCAGAAAATAAGAACAATTTATATTTTCAAAGGTCTTTCAAGCGCCTGCATGACCGATTTTTGAAAACGATACAAAATGTGTTTTGGACGTCTTCCGATGAAGGACAGCGCGGCCGTCTAAAAATAGCAACCAATGGAAAATGACATAACATTGTCAATGTTGGCTTTTCGTAGGCCTTCTCAGCCATCGTCTCTTTGGCCTGTACCGGCTCGTATATTGCGATATGCGAGACGGGGCGAATGGGGATAATATATATCACTGCATCGTGATAGTGAGTATACAAAATATTTATATCATATCATCATGTAGATGATGTTACAGCAGGTAAGACATGACAGATGTCATTAAAATGAGAAAGTAGCAATAAAAATAAAATGATAATATTTTTAATTAAAATGATAAACCAACTGTATAAAAAAAATGTTAAAGTAGCTATATTCTTAAAATGATAAACTAACTAAATACCATATCCTAGTCTACCAACCATGGCAGTTGAATACATCTGTTTTACTTTGCAGCTCCAGCTACCCGAGCCATGATAATCATCAGCCTTATTCTGTTGATAGTCTGTGAGTATTAGAGGAAGTGGCTGAGTTTGGTAGTCACAAACCGTTAACGCCGGTTGTAGCAATATGCCGACAATATCACGTCCGGGGACACGCTGGGCTGCTGAAGGGTATGAATGAATGAGATGCATGAGTGAGGCAGCAGGAGTAATGTTCTTGAATGTAATATTCCAGCAATGGTACAACAGGGACACCAGATATGGGCTTCACACATTGTATCACATGAATCTAGATGCAACACAAAGTCAGCCGCCTAACCCACCACTTTAGGTGCCTGACTCTGAGGGTGTGCGTTCGAATCCCGGATGGGGCTCAACTTAAAAAAGTACTAGAATTTGTACTTCACTAAGAAAGTTTAATCCCAAATATAACATATGTTGCATTTGACCACTTTCTAAATGGTATTGTGTAATCACGAACCTAGAACTTTGGTGTGAGGAACGAAAGTTTGAAACACTAGGATACCCCAACGCACTGAATACTTTAAACCCGTCTCATATAAACAATGTGATGGCATGCAGGCACATATGCAGAAACGACATGTGGCGACCCGTCAAGACCCTGGTTAAAATTGATCGTCAGCAACCTATGCTTGTCGAAGGAGACCGACTAACGGGATCGGGTAGTCAGGCTCACTGACGTGGCTGTCACATGTCATCTTACCAGTTGTGTTTGCAGCTGCTCGCTGGATTGTTTGGTCCAGACTTGATTATATACAGACCGCCGCCATATAGCTGGAACATTACTGGGTGTGGTGTTAAACAACAAGAAAACACAAGTGCAATGTTCCACAGTTTTGATCTTGCTGCACATATTTCGTGTGTTGTTTTTATTGGCCTGTAAGGATTAGACATGATAGTAGACATAATATAAGACCATCCGGTTTGCCTTCACTGAAGATGTCTTGAATTTCTTCTTGACTTGTCTTGTTTTGCACTATTTTAGCGTTTGAAACATACGGCCAGATAAACTGTGACTGGGGGAAGTATGGAGAAGCCTGCAGCAAAGTCTGCCCTCAATCCTGTATGCCAGACCCCAACAGGCAGCTCATCCACTGCCATAAGGACACAGGGAGGTGTTCTGAAGGCTGTGTTCCTGGCTGGTTTGAAGATCTCTGTGACAAAGCCTGCAGCAAGAACTGCGCGGGAAACATCTGTAATCGTCAAACTGGCATGTGCACGCATGGATGTAGTGGGAACTACACAGGAGACTTTTGCAACACTCCTCTAGGTTTGTAACCAATCTGATTTACAATTTAATTTTTAATGTATCTACACAAAACCGTTGATTTTGTATCTAACCAAACAGAATAGCGACGATCCTTTCTTTGAAGAAGTAAAACCCATTGCAATTTAGACAAAATATGCTTTTGGATGTGTTCTGTTGCAATATTAATCAGCATCAATACCAATGTGTAAAACCTTACTGATTTGTCACATCTTAACATAACGTTTCGCTTTAGAACTGGTCTTAAGCATCCTGTGCTTGTCGAAATAACCTACAAAAGGATATCGTTTATGGATATAACCGTGTCCCTAGTGTGAATATCGATGCTCAAGCTATCAATCTCTGTTTGTCTGGTCCAGACACGATTGTTTACATAGAGATGGACAAAAACACAGCGCCGCATTACAAAGAATGTCAGATCTTCAGTAATATCATCTCAACAAATATGTAGTTTTGGATCAGATCTTAGACGAATGTGTATCCACATTGTATATTTACACCCGTTGTATCCACATTGTATGTTTACACCCGTTGTATCCACATTGTATCCTTACACCCGTTGTATCTTTCGGGATGGAAGTTGATCAGACGAGGCATCGCTACAATCAACCAAATGTAAAATGGCGATGAAGTCGAAACTTTATGTGGGATGTTTGATTAGAATAACCATGGTATTTTCCCCCAGTTGGTATTATATCAGTTATAATTATATTTATGTGAAAGTATCTCTTTGAACTCCTGTAGTTTTCAAATGATCAGAAATCAAACTACAAAGTAAATAAGGTCGTAAGGTGTGGAATATATGTTTAGAAAATAAAGTTGGCTTCATCTGTGTTTCCGCAGGCACGTCAGCGCCACCTTCCGGGGAAGTCACCACACGTGCGTACAGAGCAGTCAGAAACCTGGATGAAAACAATAAAACCATTTTCTCCGCAAAGATCTGAGTTAGGATTGGTCACCGGCAAAGCATGGTTGCCGTAAGGCCGTTAGATCGGGTGGCCAGAGTCGGTTGACACATGTCATCGTGTCCCAAATTCCGTAGACCGATCGTGATGATGTTGAATTTTCTAAACCTCCAATGACGTCACTCTTATTGTCTCGCCAGGTTCTGCTTTTACCGACTAAACAAACCTCAACGGGATTCATATAACATTGACTTGCTATCACTAAATACGGTTGTAAAATATCACATTATTGAAGACTTCCAATAAATAGTGCCGATGCCTTGTTTCGAACCTGCGACCCTTCACTTATTAGTTTGGCAGTTTTATCCACTGAGCTACGAATGATCGGTGTGAAGAATGAGATTGTTTGTCAGTATAAACAGTGTGCTCCTCACAAGACGGAAAGTGAGGGCAGCGCACGTGCAGGACACGGGTAGCACGGTCAGACCGCGCGCATTTCGCATCCCAGTTGATTTCATTAGTAATTATCGAATATTCAAAATTATATCTAAAGTATGTCTTCGGACGGTTCATAAGTTGGATGAAAACCTCGGAGTCGGGTTTGATCCTTCACGTCTGAAGCACACTGCATTGTTCTCACAGGTTGCCGCTATGTTGCTGGAATATAGCGGAATGTGGCTTTAAACAACAAACAAAATGAAAAGAAAAATACATAAAAACGTGTTTGAAATTGCTAAATCGTTCTTATTCGTCTCACAAAAGTATTTGTTACTGTACTTTGCAACAGATACGTCGACGACAATACCGCCTGCGTCAACCCCCACAGAAACCCCGAACCTGGCTGCCATCCTTGTCCCTGTATTCCTCCTCTTGGTTGTCATCGCTGTGGTGGTGTTCATACTGTAAGTGTATATCTGACACAGGAAGTCTCACTTACACATCACAGATAGATGTACATATTAGACTTACCCTAAACAGAGACCGCATCGGGATGATATGCTACCTGGCATCATCTTGTACCTTGCTTCACCTAGCATCATTTAGCCTTACCTAGCATTATGTGGCAACATCTTGTACCTTGCTTCACCTAGCATCATTTAGCTTTACCTAGCAATATGAGGCATCATCTTGAACCACAAGGCATCAACTGTCATCCCGTGTCAACATCTGATATCCGTTTCATGGATGTTTTTGTTCCAATTCAATTGTTCTCTGACAAACTAAGACATATAGTTGATGATACTATTCCTAAGTCCTCTGTAAACCCACACATACGTAAGCCATGGTTTAATGACGAATGCAAACAGGCTAGGAAAAGTAGGAAGAAAGCCGAGAAATATTTTCGCAGCCATCCTACAGTACATAACTTAAATAATGTAAAAATCAGTTATGCTAAGGCTCGCCGAATGTTCAAGCACATTAAGCGTCATACTTGGAAAAATACGTTTCCAAAATAAATTCCCGTACTCCTATGTCAAGGGTATGGAATATGATCCAAAAAATCAAAGGCAAGGGTTCCAAATCTAGTGGTATTCAGCATCTCAAAGATGATACTGACATACTAACTGAAAAATCTGATATTGCAAACATGTTAGGTGAAACTTTGGCTAAACATTCGTCCTCCTCAAATTATAATCCAAAATTTCAGGTTTATCAAACACAACAAGAAAAGAAAACAATAAATTTTCAATCTGATAATGGTGAAGATTATAATGAGGTATTTTCACTACAAGAACTTCACACTGCTTTATCACAAGCTCATGATACTGCAACAGGACCTGATAATATGCACTACCAACTCTTAAAACACTTGCCTGAATCTTGTCTTGAAACTTTACTAAACATTTTTGACCATATTTGGACAGCGGAAAATTTTCCTCCTTCATGGCGAAACGCCATAGTTGTTCCTATCCCAAAGCCTGGCAGGGATCATACAGATCCATATAATTATCAACCTATTTCCTTAACTAGCTGTGTTTGTAAAACCATGGAGCGAATGGTCAATAATCGCTTAGTTTGGTTTTTAGAAACCAACAATCAAATCACTGATATACAATGTGGTTTCCGTAGAGACCGAGGTACTGTTGACCACTTGGTTCGTTTGGAATCATTTGTTATAAATTATTTTATTAAAAAACAACATGCTGTATCCATCTTTTTTGATCTGGAAAAAGCTTATGACACCACTTGGAAGCATGGTATTTTAAAAGATTTACAAGCTTTTAGGTTGAGAGGTCGCTTGCCTCAATTTATAACTAATTTTTTATCCGACAGACAGTTTCAAGTTCGTGTGGGATCAACCTTGTCAGACTTCTTTAATCAAGACCAAGGTGTTCCACAGGGCAGTATTTTGTCTGTGACTTTATTTAGCATTAAGATAAATAGCCTTTCAAAGGTTTTAAGTGATTCAGTTGATGGATCACTATTTGTGGATGATTTTAATGTTTCTTGTAGAGGTAGAAATATGCATACAATAGAGAGACAATTACAACTTTGTCTCAATAAAATCGACAAATGGTCACTTAAATTTTCTATAGCAAAAACTAATTGTATACATTTCTGCAGAAAATATAAACCGCATAAAGATCCAGAATTATTTTTAAATGGCACCCCTATCAAAGTGTAAAGGAGGCCAAGTTCTTGGGTCTTATTTTCGACTCACATTCAACTTTTCTGCCACACATTAAATCTCTTAAAGCCAAATGCCTAAAGGCACTTGATCTGTTAAAAGTCGTTTCAAATTGTAAGTGGGGTGGGGATCAAACTACCCTACTGCACCTATAAAGATCTCTCATCCGGTCGAAACTTGATTACAGCTGCATCGCTTATGGTGGAGCCTGTAAAAGCAATCTCAAAATACTTGATTCAATTCATCACCAGGGTCTAAGACTTTGTCTTGGGTCTTTCACAACTTCTCCTATTGACAGTCTGTACGTTGAGGCTGATGAGCCTTCTCTAACGCCGTATAAAATTATCCTTACAGTATATAACCAAATTATATTCTCACGAGTCTAACCCTGCATTTCACTGTGTTTTTAATCCTCTTTATGAGGATCTATACAATAAAAGGTCTTCTCTTGTTCCGCCTCTGGGACTAAGAGTCAAACCTTTCATTTCTGCTGCTGGTATTGAGCTAGACAATATATCTTCTTCCCGTCTGTTTTCTTCTCCTCCTTGGCAGTTAGTTACACCAGAAGTTGACCTAACACTAACAACATTTAAAAAATCGGAAACAAATGAATTACACTATAATCAAGAATATAATCAATTAAAAAATAAACATAATACGTACAAATCCTTATTTACGGATGGGTCCAAGGATGGTGGCGCGGTTGCTTGTGCCACTGTCATTGGATCCAGAACAATATCTTCTCGATTACCAAATAACAGTTCTATTTTCACAGCGGAAGCTCACGCTATATTAACAGCTCTTAGATATATCAATAACCACCGTAAATATAAACAATACATCATCTTTTCTGATTCGCTTTCGTGTCTTCAGGCTATTAAAAATATTTCTTGTTAACATCCACTTTTATTAGAAATTATTGAATTGTATAATGAGCTTGCTACTGGCCAATGCGACATCGTCTTTTGTTGGTTACCCAGCCACGTTGGCATTTCTGGGAATACTATGGCTGATCTTGCTGCTAAGGCAGCACTCAACAAATCTGTGACACCACTTCTTATTCCATACTCTGATTACAAAGCTAGCATTAGAACTTACATCCGTGATCTGATGCAGAAGAAGTGGGACACCCAAGTAGGTATTAACAAATTACATGAAATAAAACCTTATATTGGTTACACTCACTTGGGTTGTCAGTCCAGATTTGAGGAGGTCATTATGCGACGATGTCGCATTGGCCATACAAGGTATACTCACAAATACTTGTTGAAAGGTGAAGATCCTCCGTTTTGTATCCCTTGTGATGAGAGAGTCACAGTCAAGCATCTCCTGCTTGACTGTGTCGAATTCTCCATCATAAGGGATAACTATTTCAATGTTAAAACTGTTAAGGATCTTTTTAACACTGTTCATGTTCATTTAATTCTTGGTTTTTAAAAGAAATTGATTTGATTAATGAATTTTGATTAATATGTTCTGTAGATAGATGTATTTTAAAGATACGTAGTTTAGATTAGCAACTTAGATTGTCAGTGGCTGTACCCTCAAAGGGGTTAAAGTACTGTAAAATTATTGTCCTCCGGAGAGGGTACGTAAGTCCCAATACATTCGAAGTGGATTTAAACCTACTACCATTTTAATCGTAGAATATCTGTTCGTTTAATTTGTGGCTAGATTTTCTAAAATTGCTAATAGCTGAAGGGATGGTGTAAATCCAGCTAGGGTCCATGCAGGAAGCAAAAGTACTGTAAGTCCCCATGGTCTCTAGTAAGGTGATCTCCCCTCAGCTGTTGGCGGTATATAGCCTATTTTTATATTGTGTTGTCAACTATAATTCAAATATTTTAGATTTAATTACTAGTTTTACATGTCTAACTGTGATATTCTAGTTGTTTTACTGTCCTCCGTAGGCAGGTTTTTATGATATAGATGTATTTCGTTTCAATATCAAATGATCTCGTCACGATATGGCTGAAATATTGCCGATGTGACGTTAAATTTTGACTCACTCACTCACTCACTGATATCCGTTCAGGATGTTAGAAGGTACCACATTACAATATGACACTACCCTGTTGTTTTTTGTCAGTTTAAGTCAGGTGGCCGAGGCGGACTGATGTACTGACCGGCACAGTTTAGAGAGTAGACGTCACAAATGTGACGACAGTTGGATATTGAGCAACTGTATGTTCTATATGTACATCAGTAACTACCCATACTTACATGTTACGACAGTTGGATATTGAGCAAGTGTATGTTCTATATGTACATCAGTAACTACCCATACTTACATGTGACGACAGTTGGATATTGAGCAACTGTATGTTCTATATGTACATCAGTAACTACCCATACTTACATGTGACGACAGTTGGATATTGAGCAACTGTATGTTCTATAGGTACACCAGTAACTACCTATACTTACATGTGACGACAGTTGGATATTGAGCAAATGTATGTTTTAAATGTACATCAGTAACTACCTATACTTACATGTGACGACAGTTGGATATTGAGCAACTGTATGTTCTATATGTACACCAGTAACTACCCATACTTACATGTGACGACAGTTGGATATTGAGCAACTGTATGTTCTATAGGTACATCAGTAACTACCTATACTTACATGTGACGACAGTTGGATATTGAGCTACTGTATGTTCTATATGTACATCAGTAACTACCTATACTTACATGTGACGACAGTTGGATATTGAGCAACTGTATGTTCTATAGGTACATCAGTAACTACCTATACTTACATGTGACGACAGTTGGATATTGAGCAACTGTATGTTCTATAGGTACATCAGTAACTACCTATACTTACATGTGACGACAGTTGGATATTGAGCAACTGTATGTTCTATATGTACATCAGTAACTACCTATACTTACATGTGACGACAGTTGGATATTGAGCAACTGTATGTTCTATAGGTACATCAGTAACTACCTATACTTACATGTGACGACAGTTGGATATTGAGCAACTGTATGTTCTATATGTACATCAGTAACTACCTATACTTACATGTGACGACAGTTGGATATTGAGCAACTGTATGTTCTATATGTACATCAGTAACTACCCATACTTACATGTGACGACAGTTGGATATTGAGCAACTGTATGTTCTATAGGTACATCAGTAACTACCTATACTTACATGTGACGACAGTTGGATATTGAGCAACTGTATGTTCTATATGTACATCAGTAACTACCTATACTTACATGTGACGACAGTTGGATATTGAGCAACTGTATGTTCTATATGTACATCAGTAACTACCCATACTTACATGTGACGACAGTTGGATATTGAGCAACTGTATGTTCTATAGGTACATCAGTAACTACCTATACTTACATGTGACGACAGTTGGATATTGAGCTACTGTATGTTCTATATGTACATCAGTAACTACCTATACTTACATGTGACGACAGTTGGATATTGAGCAACTGTATGTTCTATAGGTACATCAGTAACTACCCATACTTACATGTGACGACAGTTGGATATTGAGCAACTGTATGTTCTATATGTACATCAGTAACTACCTATACTTACATGTGACGACAGTTGGATATTGAGCAACTGTATGTTCTATATGTACATCAGTAACTACCTATACTTACATGTGACGACAGTTGGATATTGAGCAACTGTATGTTCTATAGGTACATCAGTAACTACCCATACTTACATGTGACGACAGTTGGATATTGAGCAACTGTATCTTCTATATGTACATCAGTAACTACCTATACTTACATGTGACGACAGTTGGATATTGAGCAACTGTATCTTCTATATGTACATCAGTAACTATCTATACTTACATATAACGACAGTTGGATATTGAGCCAATGTATGTTCTATATGTACATCAGTAACTACCCATACTTACATGTGACGACAGTTGGATATTGAGCTACTGTTTGTTCTATATGTACACCAGTAACTACCCATACTTACATGTGAGTACAGTTGGATATTGAGCAACTGTATGTTCTATAGGTACACCAGTAACTACCTATACTTACATGTGACCACAGTTGGATATGGAGCAACTGTATGTTCTATATACACATCAGTAACTACCCATACTTACATGTGACGACAGTTGGATATTGAGCAACTGTATGTTCTATATGTACATCAGTAACTACCTATACTTACATGTGACGACAGTTGGATATTGAGCAACTGTATGTTCTATATGTACATCAGTAACTACCTATACTTACATGTGACGACAGTTGGATATTGAGCAACTGTATGTTCTATATGTACATCAGTAACTACCCATACTTACATGTGACGACAGTTGGATATTGAGCAACTGTATGTTCTATATGTACATCAGTAACTACCTATACTTACATGTGACGACAGTTGGATATTGAGCAACTGTATGTTCTATAGGTACATCAGTAACTACCTATACTTACATGTGACGACAGTTGGATATTGAGCAACTGTATGTTCTATATGTACATCAGTAACTACCTATACTTACATGTGACGACAGTTGGATATTGAGCAACTGTATGTTCTATATGTACATCAGTAACTACCCATACTTACATGTGACGACAGTTGAATATTGAGCAACTGTATGTTCTATATGTACATCAGTAACTACCCATACTTACATGTGACGACAGTTGAATATTGAGCAACTGTATGTTCTATATGTACATCAGTAACTACCTATACTTACATGTGACGACAGTTGGATATTGAGCAACTGTATGTTCTATAGGTACATCAGTAACTACCTATACTTACATGTGACGACAGTTGGATATTGAGCAACTGTATGTTCTATATGTACATCAGTAACTACCTATACTTACAGTGTGACGACAGTTGGATATTGAGCAACTGTATGTTCTATATGTACATCAGTAACTACCCATACTTACATGTGACGACAGTTGGATATTGAGCAACTGTATGTTCTATATGTACATCAGTAACTACCCATACTTACATGTGACGACAGTTGGATATTGAGCAACTGTATGTTCTATATGTACATCAGTAACTACCTATACTTACATGTGACGACAGTTGGATATTGAGCAACTGTATGTTCTATATGTACATCAGTAACTACCCATACTTACATGTGACGACAGTTGGATATTGAGCAACTGTATGTTCTATATGTACATCAGTAACTACCTATACTTACATGTGACGACAGTTGGATATTGAGCAACTGTATGTTCTATATGTACATCAGTAACTACCTATACTTACATGTGACGACAGTTGGATATTGAGCAACTGTATGTTCTATATGTACATCAGTAACTACCCATACTTACATGTGACGACAGTTGGATATTGAGCAACTGTATGTTCTATATGTACATCAGTAACTACCTATACTTACATGTGACGACAGTTGGATATTGAGCAACTGTATGTTCTATATGTACATCAGTAACTACCTATACTTACATGTGACGACAGTTGGATATTGAGCAACTGTATGTTCTATATGTACATCAGTAACTACCTATACTTACATGTGACGACAGTTGGATATTGAGCAACTGTATGTTCTATATGTACATCAGTAACTACCTATACTTACATGTGACGACAGTTGGATATTGAGCAACTGTATGTTCTATATGTACATCAGTAACTACCCATACTTACATGTGACGACAGTTGGATATTGAGCAACTGTATGTTCTATATGTACATCAGTAACTACCTATACTTACATGTGACGACAGTTGGATATTGAGCAACTGTATGTTCTATATGTACATCAGTAACTACCTATACTTACATGTGACGACAGTTGGATATTGAGCAACTGTATGTTCTATATGTACATCAGTAACTACCCATACTTACATGTGACGACAGTTGGATATTGAGCAACTGTATGTTCTATATGTACATCAGTAACTACCCATACTTACATGTGACGACAGTTGGATATTGAGCAACTGTATGTTCTATATGTACATCAGTAACTACCCATACTTACATGTGACGACAGTTGGATATTGAGCAACTGTATGTTCTATATGTACATCAGTAACTACCTATACTTACATGTGACGACAGTTGGATATTGAGCAACTGTATGTTCTATATGTACATCAGTAACTACCCATACTTACATGTGACGACAGTTGGATATTGAGCAACTGTATGTTCTATATCTACATCAGTAACTACCCATACTTACATGTGACGACAGTTGGATATTGAGCAACTGTATGTTCTATATGTACATCAGTAACTACCCATACTTACATGTGACGACAGTTGGATATTGAGCAACTGTATGTTCTATATGTACATCAGTAACTACCTATACTTACATGTGACGACAGTTGGATATTGAGCAACTGTATGTTCTATATGTACATCAGTAACTACCCATACTTACATGTGACGACAGTTGGATATTGAGCAACTGTATGTTCTATATGTACATCAGTAACTACCCATACTTACATGTGACGACAGTTGGATATTGAGCAACTGTATCTTCTATATGTACATCAGTAACTACCCATACTTATATGTGACGACAGTTGGATATTGAGCAACTGTATGTTCTATATGTACATCAGTAACTGCCTCTACTTACATGTGACGACAGTTGGATATTGAGCAACTGTATGTTCTATATGTACATCAGTAACTACCTATACTTACATGTGACGACAGTTGGATATTGAGCAACTGTATGTTCTATATGTACATCAGTAACTACCCATACTTACATGTGACGACAGTTGGATATTGAGCAACTGTATGTTCTATATGTATATCAGTAACTACCCATACTTACATATGACGACAGTTGGATATTGAGAAAATGTATGTTCTATGTGTACATCAGTAAGTAACCATACCTTACATGTGACGACAGTTTGATATTGAGAAAATGTATGTTCTATGTGTACATCAGTAAGTAACCATACCTTACATGTGACGACAGTTTGATATTGAGAAAATGTATGTTCTATGTGTACATCAGTAAGTAACCATACCTTATATGTGACGACAGTTTGATATTGAGGAAATGTATGTTCTATGTGTACATCAGTAAGTAACCATACCTTACATGTGACGACAGTTTGATATTGAGGAAATGTATGTTCTATGTGTACATCAGTAAGTAACCATACCTTACATGTGACCACAGTTTGATATTGAGGAAATGTATGTTCTATGTGTACATCAGTAGGTAACCATACCTTACATGTGACGACAGTTTGATATTGAGAAAATGTATGTTCTATGTGTACATCAGTAAGTAACCATACCTTACATGTGACGACAGTTTGATATTGAGGAAATGTATGTTCTATAAGTACATAAGTAACAACCCATATTTACATTGTGGAAGCCGCGGTGGCTTAGCGGTCTAGGCGTCTGACTTTGTGTGAATCCCGGATGGAACTGAACTAAAAATGTACTAGAATGTGTACTTCGCTAGCAAAGTGTAATCCCAAATATAACACGTTACATTTCACCGCTTTCTAAAATGGCATTGTGTATTTCACATATTTACATTTGTTTTGTCAGGTTTGTCAGGCGAAAACAAAAAAGGGGAGAAGACATTTGCATTCCGGAAGCAGTGAGATCGAGACTCCCATGCTTGCAGACAGCTGATACATCTACCAGGTAAGACAGAAAGATAACGACAGATAGAGTGCCCCCATCATCTGTTACAAAAGTCCATGTAATCATGACGTTTTAGTCACGAAATAAGATCTGGGTTAGAATTCTTTAGTTACACATACTTGTCGTAAGAGGCGACTAACGGGTTCGGGTGGTCAGGCTCGCTGACCTGGCTGACACATATTATCGGTTCCCAATTGCTATTGCTGTTGATCTCTGGATTGTATGGTCCAGACTGTATTATTTACAGACCGTCGCCATGTACCTATGATATTGCTGTTGATCTCTCGATTGTATGGTCCAGACTGTATTATTTACAGACCGTCGCCACGTACCTATGATATTGCTTTTTATCTCTAGATTGTATGGTCCAGACTGTAGTATTTACAGACCGTCACCTTGTACCAATGATATGGCTGTTGATCTCTGGATTGTATGGTCCAGACTGTGTTATTTACAGACCGTCGCCATGTACCTATGATATTGCTGTTGATCTCTGGATTGTATGGTCCAGACTGTATTATTTACAGACCGTCGCCATGTACCTATGATATTGCTGTTGATCTCTAGATTGTATGGTCCAGACTGTATTATTTACAGACCGTCGCCATGTACCTATGATATTGCTGTTGATCTCTGGATTGTATGGTCCAGACTGTATTATTTACAGACCGTAGCCATGTACCTATGATATTGCTGTTGATCTCTGGATTGTATGGTCCAGACTGTATTATTTACAGACCTTCGCCATGTACCTATGATATTGCTGTTGATCTCTGGATTGTATGGTCCAGACTGTATTATTTACAGACCTTCGCCATGTACCTATGATATTGCTGTTGATCTCTGGATTGTATGGTCCAGACTGTATTATTTACAGACCTTCGCCATGTACCTATGATATTGCTGTTGATCTCTGGATTGTATGGTCCAGACTGTATTATTTACAGACCTTCGCCATGTACCTATGATATTGCTGAGTGCGGCGTTAAACAAGAAACCAACAAATCGTAGCAATGCTATCGCTCTTCTCATGTCTAAATTTCGTAAAGGAGTAATAAGGATGCCTAAATTGTGACCTCGCTTATATTTCAGGCACATAGATGATGAAGATGGTGAGTAAACAGCGTTGTTCCTAATCAGGTCTACATACAGTATCAGCATGTCCTTGCTGGTCTACATACAGTATCAGTATGTCCTTGCTGGTCTACTTACAGTATCAGTATGTCCTTGCTGGTCTACTTACAATATCAGTATGTCCTTGCTGGTCTACAGTATCAGTATGTCCTTGCTGGTGTTGTATATTCATCAAGTAACCACGTCAATGTTTTAATAAAATAGACTGAAACACATGATGAAAGTATCGAGCTTTGGGATGAGGTGTACTTTACCTGTGAACCGGAATTAATGTAGCAAGCAATGGTCCATGCATGTGGAATTTCGATACTTTAGTCTTATCTTAGCAGCGACCACACATCTTACGTTTTCAGAAACATATAATAATTCTTAGTTAAGGATGTCATGCCTTGAAAATGTTCTCAAAATTCAGTAAAAATGCTCTTGCGTGCTTTCTTGATGTATTATAGATGATGAAATAAATGAATATACATTACAAACACACACAGCTGCACAGCTGTTGAACCTCAGCTCCATTAATGGAGTTGAATTGCTCCTGATATTGACGGATGTTCTTGTATATGCCTTGTCAATCATCATTTCAGTGCCTTTGACAAAGCCGAATGAAGCAGACGCCGACCGTGAGTATGAACTATATGTAATCATGTATGTGTTGAGACGTACGTCATTATATCTTGATTGATTCTATTGAGATGTGGACGTTCACTAGGAAAGAACCAAAATGTAGAACGTCAGGGCTTGCGTTGATCCACCAATGAAGCAACTGAATGTCTTTCTTGTTGACATATTGTAAAAGTGACGAAATATCAATAATACTGGTTTGCCAAGAGTCGGTTGTAGTATTTTGGCCATATCATGAGGATGTGTTTACACGGATTTAACAAAAATGAGTTATATGTTTCAGAACCTGACATGGCGGAGCAAGGTAAAGCAGGCAGTGTCGGTGAGTATATGTTGTGTTGAGACGTACAATCATTACATCTTGATTGATTCTATTGAGATGTGGACGTTCACAAGGAAAGAACCAAAATGTAGAACGTCAGGGCTTGCGTTGATCCGCCAATGAAACAACTAAAAGTCTTTATTATTGACAGATTGTAAAAGTGACGAAATATCAATAATACTGGTTTGCCAAGAGTCGGTTGTAGTATTTTGGTTATATCATGAAGATGTGTTTACACAGATTTAAGAAAGATGAGTTATATGTTTCAGAGCCTGGCATAGTGGACCAAGGTAAAGCAGGCAGTGTCGGTGAGTATATGCTGTTATAATTTACATCGTTAATTAACTTTGTGCAATAAACACAACTGAGGTGACGGTCCGGTGTTTGTGTAAACTTTGCATAAACACATTATATCATGGTAAACATGGTGAATTCATACTGCCATGTATTATCAGTAACCACTGTTTTTTTCTGTCAGTATTGTATCACTGCTTTTCCATCGCTGATGTTGATATCAAATCACAACTTTATGACTTGGATATATTTATCTGCTGTTATGCGCGGATAAAACCAAACTGCCTAATGAACAGTTTCAAATCCGTTTCATTGCGAGTTTACCCCATTTTGTCGGGTTCATGGTTGGATACATTATGACAGCAGAAGCCTGTCAAGTTTTTACCGTTGACTTATAGAACAGTGACAATCTGCCAAGGAACAATAAAACGCAGGAAGACGGTACACAATATTTGATCGCGTCAGTGCCGTTGTCAGGAACGATAACTCTAAATTTAATCCGAGTCCGAGTCGACAACAGGCAATGTACTTCCATGTCCCCATATTCAGTGTTTATCACATATATACGTGGAAGTAATTTAGTGGTTGTATTATTCTCGTTACATGTCAAGTAATGTCTCGTTGTAATAGTCGTTTTGTTTTGTTTTCTTTGTTTTACTTAAACAGCTAGAATCAGTGCGATTACAGCACGGTCTCTGCACCAATAATTTGGTCCAGTATTATGAGTGATCTTACTGATGTAAAAGTGGTTCCCGCATCCACTCATTAAATAATTCAAATATACCATCGACCGATCAACGTTGAGTTGATTGTTGACAGTTGAGTTTCTTGCCTTAGTCTAACTATCACAATGGGAAGTGTTCTGGAACCTCATATGTCAGAGCAGGGTGAAACTGAAACATTATTCAACATGTAAACATCACTTTGTGCCATTCTCAACATGGCGATTAAGTAAGGCTGACCAAGATGTTCCTCTTCTTCATCAACCAGCAATAGATTTTGCTGGTGATACAAGCACATGGCTCTTTGACAGGCGTGTGTTGATCGTGTGTTCTATACGCCCCATTCACTAAACAACAATAACTGGTACCAAACCATATGGTAATCAATTAGAAACCATGATCGTGCTCGCAAATGTACCAAGTGATTGGATAATCGGCAAATCATCCAAAATTACCTCATTGCATTTTGATGTGGTAATATTCAAATCAAATATAATAAAGAAATATAATGAGTTTATACTTGGGACACACAATCATGTAATCAAGTGATCTTATTTGTCTGACCAGCATCCGTGAAAGATGATGATTCAACCTGCGGTTTTGAGCTCTCGGACGACGATCACCTGCCGCCTGGTAAGAAAGGAGAATCTTTATTGAAATCAGTTATCTTCAGGAGACACATTGTTCAGGTATTCGCTTCGTCTTCAAATGAAGGTGTACACACTTCAACTATACCCTTGACAGCCCGTGACACAATGAATGAACTCTTATTTATCTGAGTGTCTCTTTACGATATGTATGAAATATTAAAATATCACTTGGCGCAGATCTGATATTCATGGCGTTTTCATTCAATAATTGTATATTTCTAACTGAGATGTAAACAACAAACGTGTTTATCTGTTAATTTCTGAATATCATACTTTGTTTTCAGTGTTTTAACTCACTAATCTAATTTAACAGGCACGCTGGGACAGAAGATAAAGGCTATCCACAAAGTGTTTATTGAAACTGGGAGCTTTAAGGAGGCGAACGAGCAGCTAGACATGTCTGGCCACGTGACAATAACTGGTGGTCCTGGAGAAGGTAAAACATCCATGGCCCTGATGCTGGGAGCTGAATACAGGAGGCAGGGGTATGACCTGGTACTGGTTGAGGACGTTGATGAAGTATGGTTGACTGATTTTCTAGATATCGGCAAAGACGTGTGTCTCATATTTGATGACATATTTAAGACAGTCAGATCACACGAGGACCTGTCGGGAATTAAGCACTTCTTGTACGACCTCCATGTGTACCTAGGGCAGTGTGAGTCCAGGTCTGAAAGACGATACCAGTGTCTGCAGCAAGAAACAAGACAAGAACCGAGAAAGCTCGATCAACCTCACATATGTGCTATATTCACTACAGAAACCAATAATCTTGAGATTGCAATGGCGAACCTGGGAGGGCTAAGGATTTTCATTGGATCATCACGTGTCCAAATATGTTACACAAAAGAGGAGAAGAAAGAATTGTGGTTGGAGTATAAAGGTCCCCACGAGACTTTAGATGAAGACAAAATTACTGCTTATAAAAACACCACTGTGGGTTTTCCTCTGGCATGCAAACTGTTTTCAATTTATGCTGACTTTCAAATGCATCATGAACATTTTTTCGAGAAACCTTTGTTCTACATTACAAACAAGCTTCGTACGATTGTTAGTTCATTGGATGCCAAGTCCGCTGCTCTCACCTTGATGATACTGTGTGAGGGTCAGCTGAATATTAATCATCTGGAGACCGAAGGCGGTTGTCAGGGCAGCCAACTGAGCCCTAGAGGTGAACGTCCGGACAACCAACTGAAGACTGAAGGTCTCAGTCCAGACAGTCAAGTGAAGCCTGAAGCTGTCAGTTCAGACAATCAAGTGAAGCCTGAAGCCGTCAGTTCAGACAGCCAAGTGAAGCGTGAAGCTGCCAGCTCAGACAGTCAAGTGAAGCCTGAACGTGTGAGTCCAGACGGTCAAGTGAAGCCTAAAGCTGTCAGTCCAGAGAGTCTAGTGAAGCCTGAATCTGTCAGTTCAGACAGTCAAGTGAAGCCTAAAGCTGCCAGCTCAGACAGTCAAGTGAAGCCTGAAGCTGTCAGTTCAGACAATCAAGTGAAGCCTGAAGCCGTCAGTTCAGACAGCCAAGTGAAGCGTGAAGCTGCCAGCTCGGACAGTCAAGTGAAGCCAGAAACTGTCAGTTCAGACAATCAGGTGAAGCCTGAAGCTGTCAGTTCAGACAGTCAAGTGAAGCCTGAAGCTGCCAGGTCAGGCAGTCAGGTGAAGGCAGAAGCTGTCAGTTCAGACAATCAAGTGAAGCCTAAAGGTGCTAGTCCAGACAGTCAACGAAAGCCTGAAGCTCTCATTCCAGACAGTCAACGGAAGCCTGTAGGTAGTAGATCAGTTGGTCAGCTACAGGCCTATGGTGACAACCCAGCCCTAGAGGACCACCTTCAGGCTGTCACAACCCTCGTGAAGACATCCACCAGACAGGGTGTCGCTCAGGCTGCCCGGGACTTCTGTGGTACATTTCTGTCAGAAGGAAACATGACAACATTTTCCCATTCTTTGATTTATGACGTCTGTGTTTCTGTGTTATTTAGTATTGAACCACAGTTCACTCTGGAACATCTCAGTATTGGGTTCCTCCTGGAGCATATCCAGGATCAGCAAACCAACACAATTCCTGTTAGTGAACACAAGCTCAAAATTCCTTTCTCAAAGGTCAATAGAGAAATACTTGACAGAATGGCTGCTTCTTTTACCAGAGGTGCCTTAACTGAATACGCATGGCATCCCATATGGAGACATGAGTATATTGCCGAGAGATTTACCGCACTGACACAACATCCAGATCAACTGTCAGAAGAAGCCAAACATCACATTTTGTGTTACGCTTGTGTCAATGGGAACACAAATATCCTGGGCCAACTTGTACGTCACTGTGACATCAACAGACGTGGTTTGAATGGCTGGACACCATTAATGTATGCAGTTGTCTCTGAACAGATGGATTGTTTTGACATCCTCGTGAAACAGCGAGCTGACGTCAGTTTGTGTGATAACAACTACTACAATATACTGCATTTGGCGTGTCTACATAGACATGTACCCACAGTAAAACATGTCAAAAAGTTCCTCAAGGAACATTATCCCGATTCCTATACCAATCAGTTTCTAAACATCCAAGCAAGAGCAGGTTGGACGCCAGTCATGTGTGCAGTAGTATTTGGAACTGAGGGTGTGTCAGACTGTTTTATAAAACCCAAGAAGAAGACTGATAAAGTAAAAACGAAGATCGGTTTTGAAAAGAAAATTGATTTCAGTTTGAGGGATAACAACGGCAATACCATTCTCCATCTTGCATGTCAGTATGGCAATAGGTCCACCGTTAAAAACCTGCTGCCCGACACAGACATAAATACCCGCGGCAACAATGGACAGACTCCAGTAATGGCTGCTGTTTTGTCTGGGAGGAAGGAAACTGTCGACATTCTTGTGTCAAACAAAGCTGATCTCTCACTGACAGATGACGACAACAACAGTATCCTTCATATGGCTTGCAACGTTGATGATGTGACTCTGTTAGAACAGATGAAAACAGAATTAGACATTAACACTCGGGGAAAACACGGCTGGACCCCAGTGATGAAAACAGCTGTGAATGGAAACATGGATGTCTTTAAAGACCTCCTGGATACACGGAACCTCAAGCTACTAAAAGATTGCTATGACAACAATCTCCTCCATCTTGCATGTCATGGCGGAAATGTCCCGATTGTTCAAATATCACTACCAAAGTTTGACATCGACGTTCGTGGAAACAACGGATGGACGCCAGTGATGTTTGCAGCTGTCAATGGAGTACACAGTGTGTTTTACCTGCTTGTGTCAAAAGGAGCTGACATACGGCTTCGGGATGACAACAACAATTCCGTATTACATGTAGCATGCATAGGCGGAAATATTTCCATTGTGACCTCTCTGTTGCCAAACATTCATATCGACTGTCCGGGAAACAAAGGAAGAACAGCAATAATGGTAACAGCTTTGCATGCACGACCCGCCCTGTTTGAACTACTTTTGTCGGAGAAGGCCAATATCAGACTGGCTGATGACAACAAAGACACTATCTTACATCTTGCTTGTGAGGGTGGGAACTGTTCCATTGTGAAATATCTCATACGGAAGTTTGACATCAATGTTTCTGGAAGACATGGTCGGACACCAGTCATGGCTGCAGCTTTGGCTGGAATGAAAGATGTGTTCGATTTGCTTGTGAGTCAGAACGCTGATCTCACTTTGACTGATGTCTACCGCGACAATGTCCTACATCTGGCGTGTCAGGGAGGAAACACAGCTATTGTAGAACATCTTGTCACATATTTCAAGGCCAATCTTCAAGAAAAGAAAGAAACTGTAGATCAGCGTGCACCCAGGCAAAGACAAGGTGATAAGGATAGTGTAATGATCATAAATGAGGTGACTGATGGCCTTGACATCGACATCAGAGGCAGGGATGATCACACGCCACTGATGAAGGCAGTTTGTGGAGGCCATCTTGAAGTGTACAAATTCCTCGTGTCTCATAAAGCCGATCCCTCACTGGTGGACAGGGAGGGACAGACTCTTCTACATCTTGCTAGCAGGCATGGTCAGCGTCATGTGATTGAGTACATCATAGACTCTGTTGATATCAACAGCAGAGACAAGGCTGGTTTGACACCTGTCATGACATCAGTTACTTGTGACAAAGTTGCTGTGTTTAAATATCTCAGAGGAAAGGGCGCAGACTTGTCACTGGTCGACAGTGCCGGGAATGATGTTTGGCATCTCGCGAATAAAAGAGAGAACAGACAAATTTTAGAACTACTGGAACCACCCCAAAAGGTAAAACGACCGTCTGGACCTAAGAATATTTTTGCTCGTAAACCATCTCAGTCTAAGAAGAAACGGCAATCACAAACTGAACAAACGCAGATGTCGCTTGTGAATGAATAAAGGCAAAGTCCAAAATCACACACCAATCGTGCTCACTCGAACAAGAGAAACCGACCTGGTAACTATATCCATCTTGGTGTGGAACAACAGTTGCACTGTGGACGATCTGCGTCCGTCCTCTGACATAAATATCTGAAGTCAGAATGATGGCAGCTGTAGACGTTATATTGTCTTCAAGCTGATCCCGCAAATTTTGTTTTCACTCAGCCGGGAAGCAGCAAATGGAATTATTGAACACTCTTTCGATTTCGTTATTCACAGAGTGCATGTAGGCCATCGGCCCATAATACAAATACAAATATTACATATTTGCAGCCATATTTGATTGGCGGTGCTCTGCAGCATAATAAATAAACATTGCTACATTTCTGATGACAAAAGTATTGTTTGAGGTCATCAATATATTGAAATTTAACTAAGAAGGGTATGTATGAAACTTGGCAGGAATATATATAATGCGCAAAGAACTGTTTGCAGTACACACTAAAAGGAAATGATACTCGTTTTCAATATATCCATTATCAAACATGTTGCATAGCCTGTGATATCTAGGTTTATTTGTGTATCTACCTGTCTCAATATTTAACCGATGGGAAACACAACGAAACTGTGTAAGAGCAATGCGAAATTTACTAATGTTAATAACACCAAGATATGGTTCCATAGAAAGATTACACTTGAAAAGAGAATATGAATAAGCTTCAGAACTTGATGATAACGAGTTATGCCATCCTCTATGGGATATATGTTGAGCCATGATCATGAATTCAGACAGGAAGGAATTTAAGCCATTAATATACCGTGTTTCCCATACATATCCAAATCCTATATTGTAAAGTGATAACTTAAGCTTTGATACCCAGTTTGTTTTACCACGGCTAGCGTCTATCAATAATACGTCTTAGCACTTTCTGGACAGGCGAGATACTGCCATATTCAACATTTCATACCAATATTTAATACAACGTTTGTAAACATAAACATCAACAGGATATCTACCAAATTCATCTCGAACGATGTGATTAGGGGTAGATATTTTAACATTAAGTAAATATTTACAAGCTAAAGTTTAAACTTTCTGAATTGGTGAACTAATATCACAATCCAACCCCACGACTTTAACCCCATAGAGTAGAATTGGTAACTCCTTTGAGTAAAAAATCCTGAAAAATTTGTCACCACGAATAGGTTTTAACTTCGATAGTGACCTACTGATACTATAGAGGATCTTTTCAGATTGTAGAATGGAATTGTCAAAATGTTTATGCCACGACAAGCTTTGAGAAAAAAGAACACCCAGTTATGTTTGATATATAAAGTTAATAAAGTTATATATTTGTATAGCGCCCGTTGCAAAAATTCTCAAAGGAGCTTAGGCGAAGGCTATATTGAAGAAGTGGGTTTTCAGTTGTCGTTTAATCTGGTCGAGATTGATCATGTTCTGAATGTGTCGAGGAAGACGGTTCCAGATCCAGGAGCCGGCTTTGGAGAACAGTCTATCTCCATAGTGTCTTTTCCCGGTTATAGGAACATCAAGTGCTCTTGATGATCCTGACCTTGGAGTGTAGATGGATACGAGTTCACTGATGTACTCGGGAGCTAGACCATGCAGCGATTGAAGACAAACACCAGGATCTTGAACGGTATACGTTGTCTCCCTGATAGCCAATGGAGGATTTATAAGACCGGGGAGATGTCCTCTCGACGTCTTGAACTGTATACGCTGTCTGCCTGATGGCCATTGGAGGTTTTATAAGACCAGGGAGATGTCCTCTCGACGTCTTGAACTGTATACGCTGTCTCCCTTGCAGCCAATGGAGTTTTTATAAGACTAGGGAGATGTCCTCTCGACGTCTTGAACTGTATACGATGTCCCCCTGGTAGCCAATGGAGGTTTTATAAGACCAGGGAGATGTCCTCTCGACGTCTTGAACTGTATACGCTGTCTCCCTAGTAGCCAATGGAGGTTTTATCAGACCAGGCAGATGTCCTCTGGACGTCTTGAACTGTATAGTTGTGTCACTGGCAGCCAATGGAGGTTTTATAAGACCAGGGAGATGTCCTCTCGACGTCTTGAACTGTATACGCTGTCTCCCTAGTAGCCAATGGAGGTTTTATCAGACCAGGCAGATGTCCTCTGGACGTCTTGAACTGTATAGTTGTGTCACTGGCAGCCAATGGAGGTTATAAGACCAGGGAGATGTCCTCTGGACGTATTGAACTGTATACGCTGTCTCCCTGGCAGCCAATCGAGGTTTTATAAGACCAGGGAGATGTCCTCTCGACGTCTTGAACTGTATACGCTGTCTTCCTGTTAGCCAATGGAGGTTTGATAAGACCAGGGAGATGTCCTCTGGACGTATTGAACTGTATACGTTGTCTCCCCGGTAGCCAATGGAGGTTTTATAAGACCAGGGAGATGTCCTCTCGGCGTCTTGAACTGTATACGCTGTCTCCCTGGCAGCCAATCGAGGTTTTATAAGACCAGGGAGATGTCCTCTGGACGTCTTGAACTGTATACACTGTCTCCCTGGCAGCCAATGGAGGTTTTATAAGACCAGGGAGATGTCCCCCCGACGTCTTGAACTGTATACGCTGTCTCCCTTGCAGCCAATGGGGGTTCTATAAGACCGGGGAGATGTCCTCTCGACGTCTGGTGTTGGTGATTACTGTGACAGCACTGCTGTGCACTCTCTGGAGTCGAGTGAGTGTTCTGATGCCCCATACAATAGACTATTGCAATGCGAGATGTAACAATCACATTGTCTGCGTCCGTGCCAATATGCTTCTTGATCAAGCTGATGTTTCTTAGATGTAGTAGCGTGACATGCATACAGCAACGTTGTGTCGCTCAGATGACAAGTATGACTCAAACGCCGCACCTACATTCCTTGCTTGAGAACTGGGGACAACATCACAGTCACCGAGTTTCAGTGGTGTGAACTGAAAGTGTAAAAGCAAAGATTTGGATCCAAAGACAATCAGTCTTGTAGGTGTTGAGTTGGAGAAAGTGCGTGGACATCCAGTGCTGGATCTCCTTGACACAATCAACGTATGGTGGCCTAACTCTGGTTGCGAGCGATCTCCAACCCGTTTTTAAACGATGGTCGTCTATGCATTAGCCTCCGACACAACGAACTGATGAGAAAATAAGTTTTGTACATGTTTATAAAACTAACGTGTCCAGTACAAAATGCCATCTTGTAACCGGTTTTAATCTCAGTATATTTGTATATTTTACATATGTAACAAAAATCGCTTGCACCTGACGTGATGGTATAAATCCTGATTGGGAACGGTGTAGGAAGCGGACTGATTGTTCCCACGGTCCCTAGTATAACGGCCCAACTTTGGTTGCGAGCGATCTCCAGCCCCTTTTTTATACAGTGTTCGTCAGTTGATAGTTTAAATGTTTTACATGCTCACAAACAAGTTTAACAAATAGGGTAATCTAGTTGATACCCCGTCCTTCCATGAAAGGTCTTTATCAAGTATCCACATGCTTATTCTTAATGTATGACTTCTTGTCGTCACGACATATTACCGATGTGACGTCAGTTTTTAACTCACTCACTAACTGGCATATGAGAACTGAATGTTTTGAACAGTTGTTTTCCTGCATTAATTGACTTTAAGGACAACCTGACACAAATGGAATAAATGCTTACAAATAAATGTTTACAAAGACACTGTGACACTTGTGTATTTAGTCTGTGATTCCCTCAAGATTCAACTCAGCAACAAAATGTTCCAAGAGCTACATGTGACGACATCCTACTGGGAGCGTATGGAGCACTACATCCTACTGAGAGCGTATGGAGCACTACATCATAGAGAGAGCGTATGGAGCACTACATCCTACAGGGAGCGTATGGAGCACTACATCCTACAGGGAGCGTATGGAGCACTACATCCTACTGGGAGGAGCACTACATCCTACTGGGAGGAGCACTACATCCTACTGGGAGCGTATGGAGCACTACATCCTACAGGGAGCGTATGGCGCACTACACCCTACTGGGAGGAGCACTACATCATACTGGGAGCGTATGGAGCACTACACCCTACACGCAGCGTATGGAGCACTACATCCTACAGGGAGCGTATGGAGCACTACATCCTACTGGGAGGAGCACTACATCCTACTGGGAGCGTATGGAGCACTACACCCTACACGCAGCGTATGGAGCACTTCATCCTACTGGGAGCGTATGGAGCACTTCATCCTATTGAGAGCGTATGGAGCACTTCATCCTACTGAGAGCGTATGGAGCACTACATCCTACAGGGAGCGTATGGAGCACTACACCCTACTGGGAGCGTATGGAGCACTACACCCTACTGGGAGGAGCACTACATCCTACTGGGAGCGTATGGAGCACTACACCCTACGCGGAGCGTACGAAGCACTACATCCTACTGGGAGCGTATGGAGCACTACATCCTACTGGGAGGAGCACTACATCCTACTGGGAGCGTATGGAGCACTTCATCCTACTGGGAGCGTATGGAGCACGACACACTACTGGGAGCGTATGGAGTAGTACACGCTACTGGGAACGTATGGAGCACTACATCCTACAGGGAGCGTATGGAGCACTAAATCCTACTGGGAGCGTATGGAGCACTACATCCTACTGGGAGCGTATGGAACACTACACCCTACTCGGAGGAGCAATACATCCTACTTGGAGCGTATGGTGCACTACACCCTACACGCAGCGTATGGAGCACTACATCCTACAGGGAGCGTATGGAGCACTACATCCTACTGGGAGGAACACTACATCCTACTGGGAACGTATGGAGCACTATATCCTACTGGGAGCGTATGGAGCACTACATCCTGCTGCGAGCGTATGGAGCACTACATCCTACTGGGAGCGTATGGAGCACTACATCCTACTGGGAGCGTATGGAGCACCACACCCTGCTGGGAGCGTATGGAGCACTACATCCTACTGGGAGCGTATGGAGCACTACATCCTACTGGGAGCGTATGGAGCACTACACCCTGCTGGGAGCGTATGGAGCACTACATCCTACTGGGAGCGTATGGAGCACTACATCCTACTGGGAGCGTATGGAGCACTACACCCTGCGGATATGTGGATATGTCTTGGCCGTTTTAGTCTGATTCCACTGAAAAGAATGAGTCTCTCTCTCTGCAGAACTATATACATACACACACACTTGAGTGAAAGGAAGGTACAGCTGTGACATTTTCCAAGGCATCATTTCTAGAGAAAAAGAAAACAAACGTGTAGGGGCGTCATGCTGTACAGTACATGTATATAACCCCGTGTATACCTGTGTGACAATATGGAGTGCTGGTGATATCCAGCTGATGACATTAACTAAATCTGTTACAAACAGCTTTTTTCAACGGGCCAAACTATCCCGGAAGTATTGTATACAGAGGAGACGGGCGATGTAGCGTGAGTATTATCGATTGATATGAGGTAATAAGTAACTGTATACATCCAAGTTTACATTTACACTCTATAGTCTCACCAACAACAGGGTGATGTAGCGTGAGTATTATCGATTGATGTGAGGTAATAAGTAACTGTATACATCCAAGTTTACATTTACATTCTATAGTCTCACCAACAACAGGGTGATGTAGCGTGAGTATTATCGATTGATGTGAGGTAATAAGTAATTGTATACATCCGAGTTTGCATTTACATTCTATAGTCTCACCAACAACAGGGCGATGTAGCGTGAGTATTATCGATTGATGTGAGGTAATAAGTAACTGTATACATCCAAGTTTACATTTACATTCTATAGTCTCACCAACAACAGGGCGATGTAGCGTGAGTATTATCGATTGATGTGAGGTAATAAGTAACTGTATACATGCAAGTTTACATTTACATTCTATAGTCTCACCAACAACAGGGCGATGTAGCGTGAGTATTATCGATTGATGTGAGGTAATAAGTAACTGTATACATCCAAGTTTACATTTACATTCTATAGTCTCACCACCAACAGGGCGATGTAGCGTGAGTATTATCGATTGATGTGAGGTACTAAGTAACTGTATAAATCCAAGTTTACATTTACATTCTATAGTCTCACCAACAAAAAGGCGATGTAGCGTGAGTATTATCGATTGATATGAGGTACTAAGTAACTGTATACATCCAAGTTTACATTTACACTCTATAGTCTCACCAACAACAGGGCGATGTAGCATGAGTATTATCGATTGATGTGAGGTAATAAGTAACTGTATACATCCAAGTTTACATTTACATTCTATAGTCTCACCAACAACAGGGCGATGTAGCGTGAGTATTATCGATTGATGTGAGGTACTAAGTAACTGTATAAATCCAAGTTTACATTTACATTCTATAGTCTCACCAACAAAAAAGCGATGTAGCGTGAGTATATCGATTGATGTGAGGTAATAAGTAACTGTATACATCCAAGTTTACATTTACATTCTATAGTCTCACCAACAACAGGGTGATGTAGCGTGAGTATTATCGATTAATGTGAGGACCCCCATTTCTTCCCGCTTCCTAGATATGTCCGTTACATGTAATAAATCTAGGACCACCATTTCTCCCCGCTTACTAGATATGTTCGTTCTATGTAATATATCTTGGACCACCATTTCTCTCCGTTTCCTAGATATGTACGTTACATATAATATATCTAGGACCACCATTTCTCCCCGCTTCCTAGATATGTACGTTACAAGTAATATATCTAGGACAACCATTTCTCCCCGCTTCCTAGATATGTACGTTACATGTAATATATGTAGGACCACCATTTCTCCCTGCTTCCTAGATATGTACGTTACATGTAATATATCCAGGACCACCATTTCTCCCCGCTTCCTAGATATGTACGTTACATGTAATATATCTAGGACCCCCATTTCTCCCCGCTTCCCGGATATGTACGTTACATATAATATATCTAGGACCACCATTTCTCTCCGCTTGCTAGATATGTACGTTACATATAATATATCTAGGACCACCATTTCTCCCTGCTTCCTAGACATGTACGTTACAAGTAATATATCTAGGACCACCATTTCTCCCCGCTTCCTAGATATGTACGTTACATGTAATATATCTAGTACCACCATTTCTCCCCGCTTACTAGATATGTACGTTACATGTAATATATGTAGGACCACCATTTCTCCCCGCTTCCCAGATATGTACGTTACACGTAATATATCTAGGACCACCATTCCATGTAATATATCTAGGACCACCATTTCTCCCCGCTTACTAGATATGTACGTTACATGTAATATATCTAGGACCACCATTCTCCTCCACTTATGTACGTTACATGTAATATATCTAGGACCACCATTTCTCCCCGCTTCCTAGATATGTACGTTACATGTAATATATCTAGAACCACCATTTCTCCCCGCTTCCTAGATATGTACGTTACATGTAATATATCTAGGACCACCATTTTTGCCCGCTTATCAAGCATATATGTTTACTCTGGGGTATGTAACTTTAAGAAAATCGTTGTGCACTTGAAAGAACAGGAACACAAGGTCATCTGCATATTCAGATAGTTGTCAGGATTTCTTTCTTAGTTTCTCAGTCAATCGTACCTTTTCCATTTTACTTGTTAGGTGGAATTGTCTAAATTCACATTAAAGGATCGCCAAGTTATTTTGAAAACGTTAACGATGCAAGGTCTCACTTAATCATGTTTCATATATTAATATCATTACTGGGTAATATTTCCCTCTTATCACATGACGGTGTTCCAATTTCCTCGAGAGGTAGAACATTACCTTCGCAATTAGGCAGGTCGTGGTTATGAGTATGGCCACAATGGAAGCTGGGTGGTTTTGTCGGAGTGTACTTGTAATATTCTTCCAGTGCCATGTGTTTGTTCAGATGCCTCTACATTCATCAAGCAAAGGAGGTATCGCAGTGAGTTATCGGGTGGAAAAATGAATGCCAACCTCACAGCCTCTAGCCAGTGAAATGATACTGTTAAAACCAACATCAGCTGACGCCTGCCACAAGAGTTATACAGAATAATCGTATTTCACAAGACATAGTTTATCAACAGGACACCTCCCTAGGAAATCCACCAATACTGTAAGTAGTAGTGGTAATGATGGCATGAACTGAGGTACAAAATGATATGTTTATCTTTCAATTTTTTATTTTAATTCCACATGTTGATGATGTAATATCAGTGGGCATTAATACATTACAAGGTTCCATACAGTATTACAGAGTCAGTCATCCGCCTTTGCATTCTCAACTTCCTGGGCATCACGCTAATGGGTGACTCTCTACAAGTCTATTTTAGTCTCGCATCCACCAATTGTTTCCATGTGTATGTACTGGTAACTATATATGTCTGTATTATCAGTTTCAGTTTCATAATGACCATCTTCGTGATCCTCTGGGTAGTTGGCTTTGTTACTATTGGAGGTAAAGCATTGTGACGTTATTTCTGATGGTCCGGGTTGTTTTGTTGTTGTTGTTTTCGATATAATTACATTTGTAGTAGTTATATCATCATATTTATATTGTATCAAGAGGTTGTGCGGTTTGCATTTGTTTTTCCACACCTTAAATCTGTCACTACGATACCTGCTTCCGTGGTGAATGTAGAGGTATCTGAAATAACACACTGAGATGCATCCCTTCCGTGGTGAATGTAGAGGTATCTGAACTAACACACTGAGATGCACCCCTTGCTTGGTGAACATAGAGGTATCTGAACTAACACACTGAGATGCACCCCTTGCTTGGTGAATGCAGAGGTATCTGAGTTAACACACTGATATGCATCCCTTGCTTGGTGAACATAGAGGTATCTGAACTAACACACTGAGATGCATCCCTTGCTTGGTGAATGCAGAGGTATCTGAGTTAACACACTGAGATGTATAACTTGCTTGGTGAATTTAGAGGTATCTGAACTAACACACTGAGATGCATCCCTTGCTTGGTGAATGCAGAGGTATCTGAGTTAACACACTGAGATGTATAACTTGCTTGGTGAATTTAGAGGTATCTGAACTAACACACTGAGATGCATCCCTTGCTTGGTGAATGTAGAGGAATCTAAACTAATACATACTGCAAGAATATAACAAGTACATTCAGACATACAGCTTCCATTGTGGTCATGTTGATCTTGTTACCAGTCATATTACTCTGTGTAATCAATCTTATTTATATCTGTGTTTGTTTGATCAGTTATATCATTTTACCGTACATTGGAACCGCACATACCATGTGCATGGAGGTTCTCGGGTATAACTAGTCTGGTAACCCATCTACCATAGTTAGGGACCTTTCAGTTTGCTGTTGTACAACATACTCAGCTATAGTCATGGAATAATATCTTCACAATTACTTTCAGCCGTTCCATGCCATCACACCCAACACTGTTCAGACTGTGACAGAGAGACGGGGGATTGCCTCACTGAGTGTGACACTGGGTATTACGATCCACAATGCAACTCTACCTGCAGCAGGAACTGTGTTAATAACACATGCATGCTGTCAGAACATGCTAGCGATAACTGCACTGAGGGTTGTGTGCCAGGTTATTCTGGCATTGGGTGCCACATACCATGTGACAGTCCAGGAGGTAACTGTACAGCATGTCCAGGTGGTTGTGATGGAGGATACTGTCAGCTGGGGTCATCCTGTGTGTCTGGATGTGTAGACTCCTACTACGGTACTGACTGTGATACTGGTAAGTATCATCTTATGGCATAAATGTCCTACTACGGGACTGACTGTGATACTGGTAGGTATTACCTTATGAAATAAAGGTCCTACTACGGTACTGACTGTGATACTGGTAAGTATCACCTTATGGCATAAAGGTCCTACCACGGGACTGACTCTAAGAGCTGTTCCAGTGGATGTACATCATGCAATATGTTGACAGGAAAATGTAATGAGGGTAGGTATTACCTGATGCATGATTTTAGTGCACATGTCAAGTCATGAAAGGTATTCAGCGTGACTGTCGAAAACTTTAACCACTAGGCTACCCTCCACCCAGGAGATAGGTAGATAGAGGCTATATTTCCTCCAGATATGAAGATTACAAGCATTTAAACATCACATGGTATTTACAGACAAGTGAATAAATGAATGCATCAAAAAGTTAATGAAACAGGAAACTGCGTTTACTGACAAAATCAGTCACAATTAGCATTATTTGGCGCCAGGTATCAAATTGAATCTCTTCTGTACACTCTTGAAATCCACCTAGGAAGATAATGGAGTCGTCAAAGCATTTGACATCCGTCAGGTCAAACAGTTTTTCATAAAGTTCGTCTCTCTCTGACATGTTCTTGGAATAGGATATAGAACATGGTTCGCAAGGTTATAAACAGCTGTACCACATGCACATTCTCTCGATTCTAGCGGTTTACATGCAAACTGAACAATTTTAGATATAGCATTAATTTTCAGGGGAAGTGTCTTGCACAGTAGCCAGAATCTGTTAGTATTCTAAGGTCGTTCAGTCATGTCTCTGGACAGATATAATCTGCTGGCTATTCTGTACTTTCAAGTAGATATGTCGAGGCTTCTAACTGTATCTGTGGCCAGCTGGTTCCACTGAGGCTTGCTGAGAGGTTTACAGGCATCAAAGACTTTTAAAGACTTTTCTTTCTTATACGTCTGAACATATTGAACGCTGGTGAGTAGAAGCATCGTTTATCGTTATTAGGGTCACATTTACACTGACCGAATCGACCAAAGAAGACACGTTTGAAGTAGTATTTACTGTTCATCCTGCAGAGCTTGCCCATGAATAGGAGTGATTGACGCTCAATGTTGGATTGTATTGTGGAAAGTTGTTGGCTGTCCATGGCAATATACGAAGAATTATGGCTTCACATCATGGCAATCAGTTGACAGAGAGAAACAGTCACACGGAGGGAGTATTTTCAAAATGTATCACATCAGAAATAGAATTTTAAGGTTAAGTTAGTCATGAATGGTCCATATCAATCGTTGCAACCACGGAGAAGTGATATCACGTCCCTCGTAAGTAAGCGTCATATAGACTCGTATGTAAGGATTGTGACCCTTGAGGCGTGATATCTCGTCGTCCTTCGAATGGAAACAGTTGTCTCAGGTTTTGTCAATGTGTTGCTGTCAGTGAGTCCTCGATACAAACGGAACTTGTTCTTTGTCAGGAGAAGACGTCGGGATCCTGGTGGGACTATCTGCATCACTAGCTACAGCATCAGTTCTCGTCATTGTTATCGTCGTCGTTGCTGTGTTCTGGTGTTGTCGACCTTTGAGAAGAGACAGGTGAGTCAGATAGGATCTGGTAGGGATTAGGTCATTTTTACAGTTAGTGTTGTTGTCATTGGAGTATAGACAGGCGGGTGAGTTTACAACGTTCAGCAATACTTCATTGTTATCTATCCATAAATCAGTGTAAAAGGAAAATAGAAAAATAGATACAGAGATTTATAGTAGAGAGATCTCGCGAGCAAACTACATTATTGCCAAGATCCGGGGTAGATTTGGTCTTCAGCCACCCAGGGTTGTCGTCCTTCCAGGTATATTCTCACTCCTCCATCAAGTAATTACTGATTAGGTCTGCAATAAAAAAGTTCACATCCATAAATTCTCGCCCATGCGTTATTGTGGTTTAAGGCTTGTTAAATGTAGATATTGAATCATTTTTCAGGTTCCAGCTGTACGTCACTCCTACCCAGGACATGCATGCCCCAACAGAGAATATTGATGCACCTCAGTACGCTGTCGTTGATGAAGCAGGGATGTACGATGTGCCTTCTTGTCAGGGAAAACCAGCCTACCCTAGCCGTTCTGACTATGAACTTGGTACAGCATTCAAACACACCACGTGTCCTAGTCCCTGTTGACAGTTGAATCCGAAACGAGATAAGAAATATGTGAACGTTTAAGTGTTCCGTCACGTGTTCTAGAAATGCATAACACATCTTGGAGCACGCAGATAGAGCCGTTGCCATGTCTACTGGAGGCAAATGTTTGAGATGGAATATCTATTGTTTGATGCAGGATGCATGCCACGACATTTGTAAATGTACACTTTTAACGACATTCATATCCATGTGATTACAAGAATCAACACAACTTTAATATACTAATGTTCATAGAGCTACTTAAACTATTTCTGTCCAGTAAAACGTATTACACTGATCTCATCATGGAAACTGTTCAAGCTTCAGTTTAATCCTTTGACAGCAGTGTAATCTCATATATATGTGTGTTCCTCATATCACGCGGTCTGATGTGTATAAGCGTTAGATAATGTTTTAGTCTGTATTTCATTGTTATGAACATTCCTGAATTATGTCCGTTTTGTTTAAATGGGCTGTAAAATTGCTGCGACCCTGATTTGTATTAATCTGAAAGAAACTGGAACTGTTGCTTCTTCCGGATTTAGCAATAGCCCGTCAACGCGGTATTCATAACTTACACATGGCACAATTGTGTCACAGTTACAAGCAAGCTTAAAGTGTTTCCGTCATGTTTGTACTGAAGTACATTTATCACCCCCTGGATACACCAGCTTTGACTCTCGGTTTTAGAGGGTGAAACAGATTCTCTGCGCTCTAGCGATATTATTATGTTTATTTTTTGCTTGTGTTAAGAATTTTGAGTTTGCTACTTTTAATGTATTTACCTGGGAAATAAACATACTACATACAGTCACAAATGTTCGATCCTAGTTTACATCAACATCCTTTACTTGGATCAAAACATGAGCATCCTTTAATGGTCTCACACAATCAAAATTCTTTACTTAGATCACAACATCAACATCCTTTACTTGGATCACATCATCAACATCCTTTACTTGGATCACATCATCAACATATATTTTAAATGGATCACAACATCAACAACCTTTACTTAGAACACAACACCTACATCCTTTACTTGGATCACATCATACACAACCTTTACTTGCATCACATCATCAATATCCCTTACTTGGTTCACAACATTATCATACTTTACTTGGATCACAACATCACCATCCTTTACTTGGATCACATCATCAACATCCTTTACTTGGATCACATCATCAACATATATTTTAAATGGATCACAACATCAACAACCTTTACTTAGAACACAACACCTACATCCTTTACTTGGATCACATCATACACAACCTTTACTTGCATCACATCATCAATATCCCTTACTTGGTTCACAACATTATCATACTTTACTTGGATCACAACATCACCATCCTTTACTTGGATCACATCATCAACATCCTTTACTTAGGTAACAACATCAAAATCCTCTACGTAGATCACATCATCAACATCATTTACTTGGATCACATCATCAATATCCCTTACATGGGTCACAACATCAAAATCCTTTACGTAGATCACATCATCAACATCCTTTACTTGGATCACATCATCAACATCTTTTACTTGGATCATAACATCCACATCTTTTTCCTGGATCCCATCTCAATATCCTTTACTTGGATCATAACATCACCATCCTTTACGTGAATCACAACATCAACATAATTTACTTACATCACTACAACAACATCCGTTACGTGGAGCACATCATCAACATTCCTTTACTTGGATCACATCATCAATATCCTTTACTTGGATCACAAAATTATCATACTTTAATTGGATCACAACATCCACATCCTTTACTTGGATCCCATCATCAATATCCTTTACTTCGATCACAACATCAACATCCTTCACGCAAATCACAACATCAACATCCTTTACATGGATCTCAACATCAACATCATTTACTTAGATCACATCATCAATATCCTTTACTTCGATCACAACATCAACATCCTCCACGCAAATCACAACATCAACATCCTTTACTTGGATCACAACATTAACATCTTTTACATGGATCACATCATTAACATCCTTTACTTGGATCACAACATCAACATCCTTTACATGGATCACATCATTAACATTCTTTACTTGGATCACATCATCAATATCCTTTACATGGATCACATCATCCACATCCTTTACTTCGATCACAACATCCACATCCTTTACTTGGATCACATCATCAACATCCTTTACTTGGATCACATCGTGGACATTGCATTAAGATGATTTATATATCAGAAACCAGATTCTTTGAGATGTGGATTTATGGTTTGTATCGTTTTACATGTTTCATTGGTCGTACTTATCAGCTGAACTAAACCGATCTCTCAGTTCTGCTATGTCTGATTCATTCTTCAAATTTATGGAATATTCTGCGTCACCTTGACCTACCCAACACTCCTTGTACACGCTGGCGACCAACATCAGTTTTGTGGTATTCTGTGTCACCTTGACCTACCCGACGCTCCTTGTACAACCAGACGACCAACATCAGTGTTTGTGGTATTCTGTGTCACCTTGACCTACCCAACCCTCCTAATACAGCCTGGCGACCATCATCAGTGTTTGTGGTATTCTGTGTCACCCTGACCTACCCGACGCTCCTTGTACAACCAGACGACCAACACCAGTGTTTGTGGTATTCTGTGTCACCTTGACCTACCCAACACTCCTAATACAGCCAGCCGACCAACATCAGTGTTTGTGGTATTCTGTGTCGCCCTGACCTACCCGACGCTCTTTGTACAACCAGACGACCAACATCAGTGTTTGTGGTATTCTGTGTCACCTTGACCCACCAAACACTCCTAATACAGCCAGACGAACAACATCAGTGTTTGTGGTATTCTGTGTCACCCTGACCTACCCAACGCTCCTTGTACAACCAGACGACCAACATCAGTGTTTGTGGTATTCTGTGTCACCTTGACCTACCCAACACTCCTAATACAGCCAGACGACCAACATTAGTGTTTGTGGTATTCTGTGTCGCCCTGACCTACCCGACACTCCTTGTACAGCCTGGCGACCAACATCAGTGTTTGTGGTATTCTGTGTCACCTTGCCCTACTCAACACTCATTGTACGGCCTGGCGACCAACATCAGTGTTTGTGGTATTCTGTGTCACCTTGACCTACTCAACACTCCTTGTACAGCCTGGCGACCATCATCAGTGTTTGTGGTATTCTGTGTCACCTTGACCTACTCAACACCTCTTGTACAGCCAGACGACCATCATCAGTGTTTGTGGTATTCTGTGTCGCCTTGACCAACTCAACACTCCTTGTACAGCTTGGAAACCAACATCAGTGTTTGTGGTATTCTGTGTCACCTTGACCTACTCAACACTCCTTGTACAGCCTGGCGACCAACATCAGTGTTTGTAGTATTCTGTGTCACCTTGACCTACCAAACACTCCTTGTACAGTCTGGCGACCAACATCAGTGTTTGTGGTATTCTGTGTGACCTTGCCCTACTCAACACTCATTGTACAGCCTGGCGACCAACATCAGTGTTTGTGGCACCCATGAAAGGCCACCTCCTCGTGGTGGGTGCTGGGTCATGCTAAGCGCCTTTCAACCCCCCGTTGTGGACCCGGGGGGGATATTTTGGTCCACCAACCTGTTTGCCGTGGGTTGCGCCCCTGTGTCGGTGGAGGAAGGGATTCTGGTGGTTGAGGGCACTGGTTCCGGGAACAGTGTTCCTTTGCCCAACACACCACTTCGGCCCTGACTTCACCTAGACGGGTGGTTGGATGGGCCCGGTTCAACCAATCGGCTGGTCATGCCAAGCCCTGTGTATGTATATTGTGATGCACAAATTTCGGAAACTGTTTAAAATTTATCAGATGTCTTGGCTGCATGATTATATATTTAAATTCAAAATTAGTCACTTCAATTTTGTAATTTGCCTAGAGTCTTATGCGCAGAAGGCGGTGGCTCATGGGCCAATCCGGTGGAAAAATTATTATTTTAGTTTTCTGCTTGAGTATATCATCCGAGTATCCTTGGTGCTGCAAGTTGGAGACCCACTTGTTTTAGCATTGTCCTTTGTGATACTCCGTGGTGGGTGGGGAGCTCGGATGATGAATCTTTAAAACACTAACCATGGCTTATGAAACCCCATAAAAAACAAAACGTCCTCTTGATACTGATCCTGATGATGTTGACCATAGACAGCCCAAATCAATTGACTACTGGCCACGTTTCTTAGTGATGGAGACTCAAGATAACACCAGACTAAAAGTTAAATCCTTTTGCTGTACAAAAGGAATACAAGGCATAGCCGGTGATGTCAAAAGCATTAAACTTTTGCGTTCAGGGTCATTGCTCATTGAATGCAGTAAAGGCACCAGGCAACTAACCTGATGTCTACCGAAACATTCGTTGGCATTCCGGTATCAGTCTCTCCTCATAGATCCCTTAACACCAGCAAAGGAATCGTTAGAGACCGCGATCGACTGTTCACTGACATGTCCGAACTTGACATTGTTTCAGAAATGAAGGATCAAGGAGTCACTTACGTTAAGCGTTTTACAACTCGGAGAAACCAGGAAACCATTCAGACGAACACTTACCTGTTTTCATTTTCTTCTCCCAATGCTCCCAGATCAATAAAGGCAGGATACTGTAACATTACTGTTGACACCTATATACCAAATCCTCTGAGGTGTTTTAAATGCCAGAAGTTTGGTCATGGAGTTCGTACTTGCACATTGTCTGTTGTGTGTGTGCTCACTGTGGTGAGAAGACACATACAACAGAAGATTGTGAGAGTACCTTTAAGAAATGTACCAACTGCACTGGCACTCACTCATCCTTTTCCAAAGATTGTCCAATCTGGAAACAGCATATGGAGATCAATAAGATCAAATTTACTCAAAACATTAGTTTTTCTGATGCAAAAAAGCTTGTCATAAGATCTGAGACCAAGGAAACCTATGCTTCCATAGCACAATCACCGTCTGATACACCTCCTACAGTAACCAAGTCCTCTGCCAGCTGTCAGACGAACTTGACATGGCTCAAAACCGAGTCTCCTGAGATCTTATCACCTGCAATGTCTACACAAACTGTGGAACCACTAAGTCTTCCTGTCACGGCCCAAACCCAATCAGAACCATCTTCTGAACGTGCTACACCTTCTCAGGCATCTCAAATAACTCAATCTACCAGAAACGTTCAGCAAATCATCAAAAGCAAAAACAAACAGAAGCAAGATTCTTGGAAAAAACAAAGTGGCAGAGCCCCAAAAGGGTCAGATGATAAAATTAAACTATTTAACAAATACGGATCACTTGAGGACATGGACGTGTCCGAAAACGTCCATTCTAGGGCACATAGCTTGTCGCCCTCGAAAACGGTGCGGGGTAGATCCCCAATTAATCCGCCTAAAAGATAGGTCTATCTACCAATATCGTGCAGTGGAACTGTAGAGGACTCCGGACAAATTTTAATGAACTACAGCTATTACTCCAGGATTTAACGCCATCAGCGTTCTGTCTGCAAGAGACATATCTGAAACAGACAGATAATTTTAACTTACGTCAGTTTCAAGCCTATAATTATTTTTCCCCTCCAGGTGATAGAGCCACTGGAGGTTCTACTATCCTTATTCGACAGAATGTAATTCACAGCCCTGTTACTCTTAACACTAATCTCCAAGCTGTTGCAGTGCGACTTACTCTGGGTGTAGCATTTACATTGTGCTCTCTGTATATCCCACCTTCATCGACACTTCAGCTGACTGATCTTCAATCACTCTATGATCAACTCCCAAAGCCATGTGTTATCATGGGTGA